TTGGGGGTTCCTTATTATAATTGTGGTATAGTATACCCCAAACCCTATTCTAGTTATCAGGGCCCCTATAGTAGGCCCTGCCGGGCTTCAGTCGTGAGCTGAGAACTTTTATACAAGGTTTGAGGGGTTAGGTTTCAGGGTTCAGGCTTCAGTGGTTAGGCCTCAGGATTTCCCCTAAACCCTCAACCTTAAACCCTAAACCCTAAACCCTAAACCCCAAAGTTTGAGGGTTTAGGGTCCGAGGTCCAGGCCAGAGATTGTTGGATAACATAGGGGCTTTGAGGATTAGAGCAGGCGTTTGTGACTTTTAGGGTTTAGGGTTTAGGGTTTAGGGGCCTTGAGGATAAGAGCAGGCTTTTGTTACAAGTGGGTGGGGTGATTTTGACGCTTAGGGTTTAGGGTTCTTGAGTTTCAGGTTCAGGGGTTAAAGTTTACGACTTATAGGGTTTAAGGTTTGGGGTTTCGGGTTTCGTGGGTAATGTAACGGCTTTAGTATTGAAGTCAAGGTTTCGTTTAAACCGCTTCGTTTGAGGGATCCAGGATCCACTATAAGGCCAGAGAGCTCTTGATTTTGGGCTGAAGGTTTAGGGTTTAGGGTTTAGGGTTTAGGTTTCAGGGTTGTGGGGATACAGGTTATAATATTACAGGGTTCAAAGCTTAAGGCTTATAGCATAGTGCTTAGGGCCTAATGATCAGGGTTTAGGGCTTAGTGGGTCGTAGAGGGGCCTTGCACGTGACTTGATAATGGTAAGTAAGGATATACCTCAGGTCCTACAAACCCTAGCTGCTTCCCAGCCCACTTCAGGCACAGCTAGCAAGGCTCAGAACGATAATCAAGAACCTTCAGGCCGACACCAAACCCGAAACCCTAAACCCCTACCTCCAACCTTAAGCTACTGTTGACGATTATGGGCAAGGCAGGATCTGTATCATCAACCGTATCATAGCTGAACCCAAACAGTAACAGACCCACACGTCCCTGTGAACCCAAGCCCCAGGCGACCCTAAACCCTGAACTCGGAATCCTACCTCAAGGACCATGGGACTTAGTAGCTAAGGTTGCAATTAGGGTCGCTCTGGTTTTACCAAATATTTACAACTTACAACCCCAATTAAGGCACTTGTAACCTCATGTACTAAGTCCGATGAGCACCCCCCCCTCCTTAGAACCCTTCTAGATCTCTTTAAGGAGCCCTTCAAGGAACCCAAGTTACTGAGTCGCATGATCCCCCGAGTAGGTAGAAAAGGTCCAAAGTCCAAAGGCCCACGCCGACCCTTTCACATCCCTCGTCTCAAAACTGAGCTCTGTAGGGTTTAGTGTTTAGGGTTTGGGGTTTACTTGGAGGATCATGGGACTTAGTAAGTAAGGTTAGAAGTCCCTTAATTGGGGTTATACCTAAATATAAGTGCAGTTACCTTAATTATATCCCTGCTTACTAAGTCCCAGGATCCTTTAAGTAGGGTCTAGGGTTTAGGGTTTGGGGTCCAGGGTTTAGGGTTCTCTAACAGGGTGTTCTCGGAGGTTGGTTAAGGGGGTCTCTAAGGCGTGTATAAAGGGATCTGTGAGGATTGTAGGAGGGTTTAGGGCTTCAAGAAACGGCTACATACCCTGCATTCTAGTCTAGGGAGGTTATATAAAGGCCTCTACGATGGAGCTCTCCTAGTGCAGATGGATTGTGGAGAATGGACAGGTTCCGACGTAGCAGGTAGTAAGTACTACAGGAGGGGCAGGGGAAACGAGTTCCCGTTCGCTGTGTGTTTGGGAACGAGTATATCCCATAGGTCCTGAGTACGTACCTACATAGTAGAAAGTAGGGCTTCAATCGTAAAAAACTATTCTTATGGTTTGGGTAAGCACCCCCATATAGATACTTAGGATTCTTGGAGTTAGTGTGTGTATATATGATATGGGTAGTTCTCTAAGCTAGGGCCCCTTTTAGGTTCCCTTTTATAAGGGTGCCGTACTATTTTGGGGAGCTGAAGAGGGATCCTACTTCACTCTTTCTGTATATATATATATACACAAACTATGTTCAATGCCTCGACGCTTCAGAGCCACGAAAACAGTAGGTTTTGCTGCATTATTTGGGTATAGGTACTCTCTCAAACCTTTGTGTAATCCTTAAGGACTTTAGCTGCAGCCGTAGATCATGAAGCCTTCCTTAAATGGCCGCTTCGGCAGGAAGTGCCTTCCAGGACGACAATGCCAAGCTGCATGGCTGTGCTTCCGGGTTTAGGGTTTACGGTTTAGGTCGTTGAGCATACAGCGGTCGGAACATTTCTGGCCTGACTTTGCCTTCCTTAAATGCCCCCAAAACCCTGAACCCTAGACCCTACGTCCTAAATCCTCCTAACACACCCTTGCTGAACTATCGAAACCTTGAAAGGAACCCTTACAAGGAGCCCTGAACCCCAAACCCTAAACCCATAAACCCTAAACCCTAAACCCTAAATCTTAAAGCCAAGACCAAAAGACCAAAAAGTGGCCCTAAGAATCCACCGCTTGAGGCAAAGTCTTTGCTTGGCTACACGACGACCTGCAAGGTGGCGTCAGGGTGATAGGATTTAGGGTTTCGGGTTCCCTTAAGGGATCCAAAAGGGTTTCTAGAAGGGTACTATCAGGGTTCTATAAGGGTAGTTCTCTATATTAGGGTCCCTTTCGGGGTTCTTTTATAAGGGTGCCGTATTAGTTTGGACCCGAATTTAGAGAGCTACCCATTTCGGGTTTAGGGTCCGGGGCCTGGATTCAGGGTTCAGTGTTTCGATTTATGACTTGCGGTTTAAGATTTAGGGTTCAGGCCCGAAACCCTAAATCCTAAACCCCAAACTTTAGTGCTGATCAAGCTACATGATGATGGGGTTTCCACACTTTTCGATTCTTTGCTGTTACAGGATCATTTTGGGTCCCGATCACAGGGAGAGGTCACATGAACCAAACTTCCAACGTACTGTCTTCCTCGTGCGGTTGCATTCTAGGGTTCACAGATGAAATGATACAGTCGCTTACTTGCATATTGGCTGGTAGCTTGACCCACAAGCAAGTATCGAGGCCGTTCGTCTGAATCTCGTGCTGGATCAACCTAGGTTGTGTCTGGGACCGTTGGTTCAGCATCGGGTATGATACCGAATATCGAGTCAGGTTTTGAGCCGCGCGGCTCTCAACTTGGCCACACAAAAGAGACCCAAACTGCGCGTTTGAATCAGCTGGGACGAGTGGCTTCCGCTGTTCGAAGTTAAAGCTCACACCGCTCATAGGGCACCCCGGTCCACTTAGAAAATCGCCAAATTGAGCAGGTAAGCAAGAAGCAGGGCACGCAAAAACAAGTCCGTTACCCATGAGGCATCCCACGGCCCCTCAGGACCCAAAACAGAAGCGATGAAAGTCCTGCCACAAATCAAATTTTCTGAGGCTAGCACTGGAGTCTACCTGGAACGAGCAGGCCGTACAGCTTAAGCATACCTGGAGATGTTTTTGGTCTTGAAGACAGCCGTTAGGTACATCACCGGCTTTCCACGTTCAGCATGCAATGTTACAATATACAATAGTTCGAGGACTCCGCACCATGTGGGATCACGGAGCACCGTAAGATAATGGTCTAAGGACCCCCAAAATTCCGTAGTCCGTGGCATTGAACCCCGACCCCAGACTCAGAACCTCCCAAGTCGAGGTTTCGTCGGTCAGATTCGGCTTTGCATCCAGGCCAGGGCATGTTCTGAATCTCAAACCGAAGGAAACACAACACAAGAGCACAAAGCGCAGTTGGTGTGGAGCTATAGACACACAACCCCAACTCCCTCAAGCCCAAAGTTGACAGGGGCGTGTGCGACATTAGGGAGCCATCCCCCGTCCTTTTCTCTCCCGTGTTGTTGGCAGCCTTCAACTACTCTTGGGGTGGCAAATTCCCTCGATAGTCCCAGCAGGTTAACTTCTGGTTCCCATAGGACCCTAAACCAATAATTTATTACACCTCGAGGGACTGAAGTTTACAATGATCGACCCACTAATTTACATTCTAAACCCTCAACCCTAAACCCTAAACCCTAAACCCTAAACCCTAAACCCTAAACCCTAAACCCTAAACCCTAAACCCTAAACCCTAAACCCAAACCCTAGGCCCCAAACCCGAACCTCCTGATCCGAGGGCTTCGTCTTGGCGGCTCTTGAATCGGTGCCTTATAAACTCGATATCAGGGTTTAGGGTTTAGGGTTTAGGGTTTAGGGCTTAAGGTTTAGAGGGTTTGAGTTTAGGGTTCAACCACAACTTGCAACAAAGTAAGCAAGCCCTGTGTCAACCCTATGCCTAAACCCCAAACAACGAGACGCTACAACCGAAAGCTTTCCTCCCTACTTTGAGGATCACGGGACTTAGCAATTAGTACGGTAACTATATTTAGAATCACGTAGAACCAGCATTAAGGTACTTATAACTTTGCTTACTAAGCCCGCGATCCTCCCCACAGCATTGCATCGGATAGCCAGGCCGACAGCAATGCACCTTCGAAGCTCCTTGTCGTTGTTTAAAGGGAGGGGGCGAACAAGTTGGCGTTGAGGCTTTAGATCTTAGGAGTTCTACTGTAGCTTTAGGTTTGCGTAGGGTTCGGATGCTTTGGGGTTTGGGCTTCAGGGTCTCGGGTGGTTTAAAAAAATCGGGCTTCATCATCTTCATCTAAAGAGTTTCGCGGGCTTTCAAAGGGTAACAACGTTTCGTGTTGCACCAGGTCACCAGGTGGAGTCTTGCTTAACTTGGAGTGACACCTAAAGATTCGGGCTCATGGCTGGGAGCTGCTTGATTCTTTCCTTTGATCTCCCGAACCGTACGGTCTGATTCAGCTATGACTTCTACAGTACCAGTAGCAACATCGGGTTCACTCTGTACTAGTTCCTACTATAGAAGCCCTACCTTCTATTATATAGGTACTTAACTCTAAACCCTAACGCCTAAAAAGGTTCTTGGGGCCCTTAACCTGGGGTTTTAAAGTAGTCGGGATATTGGATCCCGGTTGAAGTCGTTGAGGTCGAAGCCGTGGCCATGAGAGTCAAAAGCTCGAAGGAGGTTTGGCGATTAGGTACGTAGGGTTTAGGGTTTAGGGTTTAGGGGTTAGGTGGTTAGATATTTGCATAGCGTTTAGGGTTTATGGGACCAATTCAGACGCACTTTTGTGGGCCTGAAATTAATTGCTTCAGAATTATAGTGTCTTGTAAGGACTTGCTTCTGAACTGCAGTGTCCTTCAACGTAGGAATGCAGGGGCCTAAACAGTTACCTATACTATTTTGGGGGGTTCCTTATTTATGATCATAGTAGAATGGGCCCCAGAGCCCTATTCTATCTACATTACAGTGTTTTGTACCACAGCCCGGCGAGGTTTTTCTGCGAGCTTTTCCGACAGTCTGGGATGGTGAAATTCGAGACACTTGGCTGCACATAGTGTTGGGGCCTTAAGAATTTCAATAGGGGCTTGGGGGTTCTTTTGAAGGGTTCCTTAAATGGTTTCAAAAGGCCTACTACAAGGGTTTAGGGTTTAGGGGCCTTATTAATTAGAATAGGCTTTTAAGGGATCATAGTATAGGCTTTTTCGGAGCCCCCACACACTTCTTGGCAATGTTTAAGGCCTCTCCATTGCGGTTCGGGGTTCAGGGTTACTGAGCTCAGGGTTTGGAGTGAAAGGCTTAAGGCTTACGATACACTAGTATTCCTAAACCCTTCCTGGAGGCTCACACCTTACTTCCCCCTTCTTTAGGGTACCTAGTTTTATGGTTAGGCTCTGAGCCCGAACCCTGAGCCCTAAACCCAATACCCAAACCCTAAACCCCAAACCCTAAACCCTAAACCCTAAACCCCAAGCCCTAAACCCTAAACCCTAAACCCTAAACCCAAAGCCCTATAAGCTCTAAGCCCGAGTCCTGAACCCGAAATCCTCCCCAAACTTCATGAGCACCATGCCTTTGCAACCGCGAAGGCTTCCAATTCAGGAATAAACTACAGACGGTTTATCGTTTAGGGTCTATAGGGCTTGTAGGGTTCATAGGGCTTATAGGGTTTAGGGCTTATAGGGTTTATAGGGCTTAGGGTTTGGGGCCCAATTGAATTGGGCCGAAGAGGTTATTCTTTACGAAGGAGGCTTTAAAGGGCCAACCTAGATTGGATCTCTTCGAAACGGAACCCTTAACCGCAGGATCTGTGAGTTTCAGACAAACCCTAAACCCTAAACCCTACACCCTAAACCCTAAACTGTTATTTGTTGGGACATAGCAAGGACCTTAGGAGTTTTGTTTTTCGGGCTTCGCCAGGGTTCTTACTGCAGGGTCTAAAAAGATAACCTTTCAGAAAGGGTTCAAAGTGGCATGATGGTTTGAGAAAGTCCAATTCTTCGAACATATAGAACCATCCTGATTCGTCCAGTTAATTTCCTACCTATAGAAGCTGACTTGCAACCCGCAAGTGCTGCGAGCATGGGTTGGATTGCTTTCGGAGGAGCGGATAAAGGAGCTTCCTTTCTTAAAGCACTGCGAGCTCCTCCTACTGGCCCTTCCGGAGGCTCCTCTACCGTGGTCAGTCTGTCATGCTCGGAGGTGTCGGAGCTTACCACACCCAGAAAGCGGCTGAGACTGCAGGTCGCGTACTGAATGTTAGCACCCTGCCATCTACGAGATTGCTGTCGCTTGCATCCCACCAGCAGTCCAAGAAGCACTGGAAGTGGATCCCAAAAAAATTCAGGATGCCTGAGGAGCGAGCTGCTGACATCAGTATGTCTAGGTCCCACAAGGCTCCGCGAATGGAGCTTTTGGGCCTTTCCGGCCTTTTGCTGGATGAGCCTGAAAAAAACGTAGTAGATGCGTATCAGTATCTCGTTGTTGTAGTCTCTATAGTATGGTTTTATTTTTGGATATTGGTACCATATAGAACCCAGACCCTTTCCAATCATTAAGGCCCCAAAAATGTTCATTGTTGCTGTCCTTGCCAACCTAAGCCGTAATGTGTGAGCCGTAATGTGTGAGCCTTACGATCCATAAAGCCCAGCCCCAAGGTCCAGCCCTACCGTTGATGATATAAACGCTGCATTATCCACAATAATCAGGAATTTACACTTATTTCCATAGTTTAGGGTCCTTAAGTTAATGCAGGATTTATATCATCAACAGTGGGGGGTTTAGTTTTTGTGTGTGATTTTAGCTTATTGGCTCTTGTGTGTTCCATTTTTTGGGATGTATGGTTTAGCGGGACGACAGAAACATGATGTATAATAAACGCCTTGTATAGGTGTCGGGCCATACATGCCTACTTTTGAGGGCTTCGGTGGAGCCATATCCTAAGCTGCCTTAGGGGGATGGTTTCGGTGTTCAAGATCTTCAGCGCTTGTGATCCCTGACGGTTTAGGGCTTTGGGTTTAGGGTGCAGCCAACCCTCAGCCGAGTTTGCCCATTGAACTGATGGATGGCGTCGTCACGCTGACAGCGAGCGCTTCGGCCTGACACAGGTGGCAAGCGGTAGCAACAGTTAGTTTGGGCTTCATACAGCAGAAAGTCGTTTATGTCACATCTGTAGCATTCATTATGGAACCCATACACAGCCCTCATATTATAGGGGCCCTGCATATGTACCAGTAGCATTGCCGAGTTCTGGAATATGCTCAAAACCCAATCTACCCCAAGCCCTTTTTTCCAATGATTCGGGGAGTATCTATAGCCGTAAACCTAAACCCTAAACTCTACGTACTGTTTATAAATATGAAAATATATAGATACCCTATGCTTCCAAGGACCTTATAGTTAGGGCCCTAGACCCTTCAAGGACCCAACAATAAGGTCCCTGGAAGCATAGGGTATATATATATATACACATACTAAACCTGCAGAAAACCTGGCACGCATGAGACCACATATCTCGCCGCCTCCGCTTCTTAAGGACGGCTACGAACATAGGTCCTTGGCCACAAGACATCACGCTCGACAGCGAAACATGCAGCACATTTGTACACACCCGCTGCTAGTGCTGTTAAAGAGCTTTTGTGATGACTTTCAACTTTTGGTTGTCGTTTGCTGGAAGAAGATTAGCCACTTGCTGCGCGCCATGGTTTCAAGAGTGGCATAAGCCGTCTGCAGTGAGCTAGAGCTCCAGTTCTGGAGTTTTCTAAAACCCTAAACCCTAAACCCTAAACCCTAAACTGTTACATATCTAGATACACACACACACACACACCTTTGCTATATATTGTGGGTGCAGGCCTTTTCTCGGGAGGGGCGCCCTTGTCTCTGGCGCTGTGCGCTGCAACAGGTTCAGGGGTTAGCTACTGTTTAGGAGTTTAGGGGTGAGGGTTTAGGAGTTTAGGAGTTTAGGGGTTTAGGAGTTTAGGAGTTTAGTTTAGGTTTTATGGGTTTAGGGTCGAGGTATCGGGCTTGTTTAGGCAAGGACTCGCAGCTCACAGGGGCTGAGAGGGTTTCATACGGTTGCGATTACTGTCGTGTGTAAAGGGAGTTGAACGGGCTTTCGTTCATGTTGGCTACTTGGAGGATCATGGGACTTAGTAAGTAAGGTTATAAGTTCCTTAATTGGGGTTATAAGTAAATATATGTGCAGTTACCTTAATTATAACCCTACTTACTAAGTCTCATGATCCTTTAAGTACCCAAGGCTCGAAGATGTTCTTCTTGAGACCTCTGGACCCCAAGACGCAAAGTGCTGGATCATGTTGTAGGTTTCCACCCGTTGGACCTGCAAGCAAGAAGTACAGTAGTTGAAAAAAGAGTGATTGAATATACAGACGAACAGAAAACAATCAGTCAATCAATCAACCAAACAACAAACAAGACATCAAGCACGCAGATACACATCTGCATGACTCCCTCTCTCCCCCTCTCTTCCTCTGCCTTCTCTGTCTCTCTCTGTTTTGTCATCTGTGTGCCGCACCTTATAGTCCTTAAGTTTTCGGGCCCGCAGCCTTCGAGCTTGGGAGTAGAGAAGCCGAGCGCTGGTCTGGCGCGGGGGCGAGAAGCCGTAAACCTTGCGTTTAGGGTTTAGGGTGGGGGTCCTTCGTCCAACATCTGCCAAATGGTTTAGGGTTTTATGGGGTTTATAAAGCTTCGGGTTTAGGGTGTTTTGGGGTTTTGTTGAACTCCTTTTCTCCGCGGTTTAGGTCCATGTGGGTCGGTTTAGAGTTTAGGATTCAGGGTGTTACGGCTTAGGCTCTAGGGTTGTCACCCAAACAGTACGGCACCCTTACAAAAAGGTATTAAAAGGGCTCTACAATTCAGAGAAATACGGGCTTACATAGAGTGTAGTCCCTGTTTGGGTACTCGAAGGCCCAAGTATTTCTATATAGTTGCATGGACCCGCTTGTAGAGACTTGTAGCAACAAGCACTATGACTAGAGTATTCTAGACTTATAGTAACCCCTACAGATCCCTTAACAGTATCCTTAAACCTACCCCCTTCTTGATCCCTTGTAGTTACCCCCTGAACCCTGCGCCCTGTTTGGCTCCTTGTAGTCACCCATGTAACGACAGTAGCCCCTGTAGATCCCTTGGAAAGGGGCCCCCTACTACCCCTGCAAGGTAGAACCCCCCCTAAACCCTGAACCCTAAACCCTCAACCCAAAACCCTAAACCCTAAACCCAAAGCCCTACACCCTACACCCTGAACCCTAAGCCCGGAACCCTAAACCCTCTACCCTATAGTCCCTAAGCCCTGAACCCTGAGGGTCCATGTACCTAAATAGTATATACTTTGGCCTTAAAGTAGTCCCTATTTGGGTACTTTGGGGCCAAAGTATCTCCTATTTGAGTACATGGACCCTAAGCCCTAAACCCTAAACCCAAAGCCCTACACCCTAAACCCCTAAACCCTAAACCCTCAGCCCTATAGACCCAAAGCCCTGAACGCCAAGCCAAGGTCTTGCGTTGGGCGAGAGCCCGGAGGGCCCGCAGGAGCTGCTTTGCAAAGACACGGTTCGATTTCAGCTCCTTGGCTTCCAAGTTATGGAGGGTTTAGTGTCTACCTTAAGAACCCAATGAGCCCACCACTTTGTTGCAGGTTCTTACTATAAACCCGAATATGGGGATTTATAGGGACCCTCCAAAAAGTAGGTTTTGGGTTCTTAAGGTAGGATTTCGGTTTCGGTGTAGGGTCAAAGATTTCGGTTTAGGGTTTAGGGTCTAGGATTCCGTTTTGGGCTTACGGTCAGGGATTTCGGTTTAGGGTTAATGGGGTTTAGGGACTAGGGCTCGTGGCTTGGGGTGTGGGCTTTTGGCTTTTTGAGATTGGGGGGGGGGGGTATTTGGATGTTCAAGTAGTTTACTCTGGAATGGTGTTTGCCTTGCCTTCAGTGCCATGCAGTCCTGGGGGGGGGCTTAGGGCTTCGGGTTATGGCTTCCTGAGTTTCTGGGGATTTATGGAGTTTGCTATATACCCCAAACCCTAAACCCTAACCACTGGGGTGGCTCAGTGCATTGTTTGCTTTGTGGTCCGCCTTCAGCGCCATGGCTTTTTGGGGGTTTAGGGTTTTGGGTTTGGGGTTTATGGGAGTTCAGGGTACGCTTTAAGTCCCTAACCACTCAGAGTATGGATTTTGGGGACCTAAAACCTTACAATTTGGGAATTCGGACCCTCTGGGAGTGCTATTCATGTTCCCCTAAACCCTACACCCTAAACTCTAAACCCTAAACCCTAAATCGTTCTTAGGTTTTTTCGCGCCAGCTCCTGAAGGTTCTTGGGGGATTCTTGTCGTGAGCAGCTTCGGGGTTGGATCATATTTGTGGGTTTAGGGCTTAGGGCTTAGGGCTTAGGGCTTAGGGCTTTTAGGGTTTAGGGCTTTATTGGGTTTTGGGTTTAGGGTTTAGGGGTTTAGGGGTTTAGGGGTTTAGGGGTTTAGGGGTTCAGGGGTTTCGGGTTTAGGGGCTT